TGTGTCACCTGAAAAAGCCACTGTCAAAGAAGAAACTCTACTCAGTTTTGAGAAGGGAAACGATGAAGCTTTGATGAAGTTACTACAACTGATGTGACTGTTACCGACGATAGGACAATTCCTGATGAAGCAGATGAACTCCACATGAAGCAGAAGCCAACAAGGCGGAGACCAATACGGAAGAAGATACGTCCCGTAAAATTAAGAGACTTTGTTGAATTGTAATTTTGTGTTTGTAATTCTGTACATTTAATTAAGTTATTGTTAATTGTTATTGGTTTATTGTAAGTGGCTATTGTTCGTGACGAACAATACTAAGGAGGGGGCAGTGTTGCGTCAGCGAGGTCACGTGACTAGTATCACGCCACCTCCTTTTAGAAATATCCTGTTCCTTCGTGAATTGTCGGGAGACTACTAGATTGGGGGTAGTCTGGTATATATAAGACCGGCCACGAAGCGATGGGGAGGTAATGAGTAATTGAATGTATGCTGACAGAATATTGTTGGCCACGTGAGACGTTTGTTATAGAGCGATTGTTGAAATTAAGTGTATCGGTAAAGTTGTATTCAGAAAGAATAAACCAGTTTTATTTAGGAAAGGATTTGTGTCGCTAAAGTTTAGTCGGAAAGAATTTACGGAAAATTAATTAACGAACGACCGGAGACGTAACAATATTTTCAACATTAACAGACATAATCAGTTTTTAGAGGCAAATGTATTTCAGATTTATACTGGAGTGTGTTTAAATGAAGTCTGTTTCTATTTCAATTCTCGGGTATCTGTTAATTATTTCTCTTGTTCCAGACTGAAGAAACATAGCATTACATAGGGAAAAATCAATGTTGTTGTTATCATGGTGCAGGTTCAACCTATGTGACTGATCACTCTCACTCTTCTTGGGGTATCATCTGATTGCCAGCCAAAAACATCAATGCCATTTTTATACAATATGCTCTCTTTTACAGCTATCTTTCCGAATAGAAAGCACATGTGATACCCTAATTGGATGACCTAGTCCTGTGAGTAACTAGGGTCAAGAGGAAACTTGGTGGTTACCTTGGTTATATTAAGAACATATGCTTACTATGTACATATATTTTGGAAAACTGTATATATTTACTAAAGGGTGGAAAACATTTGGTAATCTTATATACCACAAGTTCATTAACTATTCATCAAGCTGTTTAAAATTGTTTCTTCTCTTCTCTTGTGAGAAATCGTGTTTTTAGTTCTATATTCTTATTTTTGATAAGCTTGACATTTTTTGGAGCCATGTTTGACTACAGATGTTTTGTTTTCTTCACATTCCTCTAAAAACATGTTTCAAGTACGATCTTAATCTGTGTTTAAATGCATTAAGTGTTTCTTTGTTCCAACAGTTTAGCCACTTTATTGAATTATAATTGTTATTTCATTTTCGTTATAGGCAATATCTTCAGTATTTGTTTGGTCAAAGAGATACTTTTTTATTTTCTTCCTTGGAATCTTCAAAATATTGTGCTTTTCAATGACAATGTTACAACTTTCTACAGTATTTTGATATCGTGTATTGCATGTTTTTTACCTTGTCCCCTCAGTACTTGACTGTAATATGTAATAAATATTTTATTCTAATTAAAAAAATGTTAATAGCAGGACTCTTGAAAAAAATTATTAGAACTTTCACATGTTGAGCAAAATATTCTCAATTCAAGAATGCCAGGCCTGAATTTTTACAAATGAGTCAATTTACAGCATTTTGTTACTTAACTGTCAAATATTTTATTGATTTCTTTTATGGTGATATAAACAATGTATACAGACAGTTGAAATTTTTAATGGTTAATTGATGTCTTAGTTGTCTCTTAATTTTTTCTTTAAAAGAAAATATTCAAATGTGTGCAGCATATGGAAACTGGATAATTGATCTGTTAGTGACCCCCATTTTCTAAATTTACTATGATCTTAGGAAAGAATTTAGTGTTTTTATGAACTTAACTGTTATTAGTAACACAATTGATCCTGATCAGTGTTTGTATAAGGTTTGTGGCCGAAATACTGGTAGTAGCAAGGGTACCTAACTTGTTATTCAGTACAGTCTAATCATTAGGTTTAGGTTTGCTATAATGTAAAGTATTTCTATTCAGTGTTTGTATAAGGTTTGTGGCCGAAATACTGGTAGTAGCAAGGGTACCTAACTTGTTATTCAGTACAGTCTAATCATTAGGTTTAGGTTTGCTATAATGTAAAGTATTTCTATTCAGTTTCTTATACAGGATTGTCTTCACTGAAGTACATGTTAGTTTTAAAGTATTTTAGCTCTGATGTGCATACTATTCTGATGTTTGCTTTATGACAGTTAATATTTTTGCCCTAAAGAATTATTTACTTATAAAAAAACATTAACTATGGTAAAGCTCAAAATAACTTGCTAATACAAAGTCTAGATAAAGGTGAAGATTTCTCAATGAGAAATTTGACATGTAAGTTGTAGTAAGATTAGCTCAGAAGCACATTTTCACAAACTGAAAGGTAATATGTAAAATTTTTTAAAGAAGAAGCTTTCTTGTCACTACTACCAATATAAAATATAGTAAAAAAATTATGATTGTGACCATGATAGCTTTAAAACCAAGTTTCCAACAGTAATTAATTTACAATACTAAGTCTTTATTTGAATATTTCCTTGCCAAAGTTCTCATGCATTGAAAGTTACAGATTATAAGTAGGCTAAAAAGAGCAGAGCAACATAGATTTAACATATTTCCCATCAGTGGAAGTATTTCGTGATACTTAGTTTAGTGTATATTGAATGCACAAAAATGGAAATTATTTTTATTTACATCTTCACTTACATTTTTTTTTTAGTAAACATGGTTTCCTTAAAATTAATGTTTCAGTTTGTCCACTTAGTTCAATATATTGTTGCGTCAGCGAGGTCACGTCACTATTGTTACGCCACCTGCTTTCTAGAACTATCCCGTTCCTTCGGGAGTGCTCTAGCATTTACTAGATTGGGGGGGTGGTCTGGTATATATAAGATGGTCACAACGTGACGGAATCAATGTGTGTGTAGACAGTGAGTAATTGATCTGCAGTCAGAGAGTATTATTGAAGTTGAGCACATTCGTTGTCATAGCATTTGTTTTAGCGCGATTGTTGAAATTAAGTGTATCGTAAAGTTATATTCGGAAAGAATAAACCAGTTTTATTAAGTAAGGACTTGTGTCGCTAAAGTTTCGTCGGAACGAAGTTACGGAAAATTAATTAACAAACGGAGACGTAACAATATGTAAATAATCTACTATTTTGATAACTTTGAATCCTACCTATCTGAATAAATTGCCTGTCAATGGAAGAGCACAACAAACACTGAACAAAGAATTTTACATACATATATGTAACAAGACGTAGATGGAATATGAATTGAAGTTTGCTTTTTCTGATTAAGAGGTAGGGTGGTTAACTTGTTATTTGATCTAAAGGACCTTGTAACTAAATCTTTTAGGTTTTATACATAATCATGTCATTTTATCACTGTTATACTTGTATTTTTAATATAAGCTTAAAAAGCAAAAAGAAACATTACTAGTTTTGAAAGTAAGATGCTAAATCATACCCTGATTAACAGTAACGTGTGTAATTTCTTACTGTTTCATGTTTTTCAGTTAGTAACAAGCCCTCACAAAATCTTACCTGTTGATCTTCGTCTCAGAGCAGTCAACAAAACCATCTGTTTTAAGGAAGCGTTTTTTGGGGTAAGTACTGAAAAAAATTCTTGTTTTGAAGTGGATTTATTGAAAAATTAATTTTCATGATTATGTTGTCATTATTTTGAAATAAACAAAATGATCAAGCTGTTATATAAATATTCTTATTGAATGTCAGTCTCTGTCATTAAGAAATAATATACTTTATTTACTGAGTTATCAAACTCTTAAAAAAGCATAAAACTCATAACTGCAAGTAGTTTATGTAAATTACAAATTCGTAAAGTAATGCCATTTTCCTAAAATTTCTAAAGAAAATGCAGTTTTAAATAGGCATAACTTTTTGTATACTCTAATATTCAGTTGTACATATTATTTAAATGTAAACAAAAAAATTATTATAGATGATTTATCACTTAATGTAATCAGACTGAATTTGAAACAGAAATGTATTGATTTGAATTCACAAGTGTTAAACAGATCTGTGAAAAAACTGTAATTGTTAAATAAAAGACAGATAATATCACAAGTGAAAAGGTTGAGATTATTTACAGTTATGTGAAGCAAATAAATTATGCACTTATTGAAAGACACGAATATGCTGTTTCTAGTTGACTACCTACATGGTAGCATATTGTTATGACAGCGGAAGTCACGTGACGCTGGTAACACGTAATGAGTATCTCGAACGTTCCTAAAGGCTCGAGTGTTTGCTAGACACCCTCTATTTTGTATATATATATAAGACCAGCGAGAAGTGACGGCATAAATAATTGAATAGCAGACAGGGAGATAGAGACAGATAATCGAGTCAAGCCGTAAGTAAAGTGTGTAAATCGTTGTGAATTATAGCGTGTGTTGAAGTGAAAGTGACTGTGGAAATTAAGTGTATTGCAAAGTTGAGTTGAGAAAGAATAAACTAGTTTTATTTAAGAAAGGACTTGTATCGCTGAAGTTTTTCGGAAAGAATTTCTATGGAAAATTAACAAACGACCAGAGACGTAACAAATTGGTGTCAGAAGCGAGACAAAAAAAAATATAAAAAAAAGAAGATGGAAAC